CAGACCGACCCATTGGTTGTGAACATTCTAAACTAACACGAGTCTCATTAAGTGTCCAGTTTAAGGGTATTACATAGAAACATACCAAGGGAACATGAATCAAATATGTACTTTTATTCATTTACAATAAAGTCATAAAGTACATCATTCTGATTGAAGCTAAGGGCATACAAAACTGTCAAACACAACTATCAAGTCCAATGATCTTTCTGCAACCATCCAAGAACCCATCCCTTGGACCTGCAAGGCATATGAAGACTCTCTTGCAAACCCCATATGTGTCTTTTTTCTGAGGCAAGTGGTGCTTGCAGCTTCACAACAGACCCATGGTTGTTTACAAGAAAGGTTGTACAGTACTAAGCGAGTACTGCATATGAATCTACCAAGGATTCCCTGGTCCTATCGACAACCTTAAGCTTAACCCTATGTATTTTCCTCCAGGTGACATCTATCCCAAACATTCTCCTAACTTCAAGCCTAAGAACACTATTTGACATGGCAGGATCAACCCTTAATAGCCATTCGATCTTTGTTGATAGCCATGTATTTGTTGCCTCCCTATTTATAGTCACCTTGATACAACTATGTGTATCATTGAGGGTCTTCATTATGAAGCTGCCTCCATGATGGCTAAGGGATGTATGAATCCTCTAGCCATGGTCAACTGCAGCATACACTCCATTAAACCTACACTTATCATTTTTCTTTCTTTTGATCTCTATACCCTCCACCACATAATATTGTCTCAATGCTTGGCTAAATTCTTTTACATTGGTAAAGTCCATAATCCGAAATCTTAGTTTGGAAAAGTCAAAATCCACTATATTGCCCCTTTCCCTTGGACTGTCATACTCACTGATAGGTTCATAGTCAAACAAATCAGCACCACCACTATCATATACACCCTCATTACCATCACCCTCATCCGAACCCTCATGAATCCCCACCATCCGAACTCTCTTGATCCCTACCATCATCATCCGAATAATCCTCAACATTATCATCAGAATAATCCTCACCATCATCATCCCAGTAAGCCTCACCATCATCATACAAACCCTCAAATTCCCCATCATCAACATCATGATGACCATCCAGTTCCTCATCATTGTCATGGCTATGATCAACTACATTTCCTTCATCATCAACTACATAACAGTTAACATCATCATCATCATCTTGCAATTGTTCCTTCCCCTTGCCACTGCACCCATCATCCATACTAACACACTTAGCTTTGGTATAAGTAACATATAACATTATCTTATGGAGGTTCCCATGGATAACTAACACACTTAGCAAACATGTCCATCACATCATTTTCACAACCAAGAATACCTAAATGCTCCTCTAAATCCCAACCTGGTATCTTGTAGTTGATAGTCACCATGCTTCCAGGAGGTATAGGAGCCAATGAACAAAAGTCTTTCAAGATGTCTAGATAGCATATTCTATCACTATCCACATTATCTACATGTCCAATTTGACCATTTACATATGATAACTTCCCATCTGTGGTCTCCCAATGACCACCATAATTGATGATGAACATGTATTTGCTTCCATCCATCACCTACATCATAGATAGGGACAAATATAGTTACAACATAAGCTACACAATAAGTTACACAGTAAGCTACACAATAATCTACACAATAAGCTACACCCTAAGAACCATAACTTACAAAATAAGCTACACTACAACCTACAAGATAAGCTACACTATGAGCTAGAACATATAAGCATACAATGGCTAAAACATAAAATAAATTCCCCATGTGCCCTACATTTATTCACTGGTATTGACAGAAACAATGTTTCAGACATTTTACCGAGCACCTGGACCCATGTGTATGAATTAAAGCAGACACATGGGTCCTAACACACCACATATACCTAGATCTGCGAGTGGTCCCAAAAAACCTAGCTAAAAAACACATAAAAAGCCGGACCATGCCTTTGTGATGACCGAAAACGCAGGCTAGCTCAGAGAAAGTTATAAGAAAAATATTCGAATCCCACTGCAAAATAGTAAAAATTTGTAAGAAAATTATTCCAAGAACTACCTCAGAGGGACGACAACCGAAAAAAAATGACAGAAATGCATGGTTTTTCAAGAGATGTAGCAGTAGTCGTGGAAGATGATTGTGGTTCTTCTCCGCTTGAACGATGATAAATAGTGTTCGGGCGAGAATAATCCTTTAATCCTTCCCTCATTAAAGAAGGGCAAAAGCATAATTTGCAAAATAGGTTCGATCTAGTGAGAGTTAATGGAAGGGTAAAAACGTAAAATCATCTTTTTCGTCCCAATTTAACGACGATGACAATTGTTAGAAAATTTAAGAATACCACAAGTCAATAGCTAACCAGTAGGGATACCGCGTGTCATTGCTAAACAGTAGGGGTAGTTTAAGAGATTTACCCTTTTAAATTTTAAAATAATAATTTTTTTTAATTTTAATTTTTTAATATTTATCAATAAAATAATAGTTTTTAATGTTAATTCTAACATAAACCTGGTGGTGCTCCTTCTCCACAATTATTTATTTATTTAAATATCATTTTTTAATGTTTTTATTAAGAAATTAATATTTTTAAATATTTAATTTTTTTTTAATTTTTCAATTATTTTACTATCGTTTTTATTAAAACTAACATTTATTAGTTAATACTAAGTTATAGATGCCTTTTCTAAGTCAGAAAGCCTAGTAAAAAACTTTTACATGGATGTCGAGGAGGACTGAACAGGGCTGTTCATGATCTAGCATATAATGCATGTAAATATAATATAATAGTAGAAAACAGATTTGCCAAACTATCTTCTGTAATGAGCTTATTTGATGAATGCTAGCTTTCTGAGTGTGTAATTTGGAAAAAGAATATTTAGGTGAAATATCATGGGAGGTTTAAGTCATCTACCTTACCAGACGGCCAAGATCACCAGGTTTCATTTAAGTATATTACTATCGGCACTGCTTTATCTATCCCTAGGAGAAAGTGAATGTAGTGGGACGCCTAAATCAAATCAAGCTTCTCCTACTACCACTCCACCAATCAGCAATCACTGTCGATCTATCTTTCCCAAACAATAGCAATTAGAAAGGCGAGAGAGGCGCTTCCAAAGATTCCAGGGAAGATCGAAGATCGAAAGAAGAAAACCCTACTGTGTTTGTCGTCATTGTAGGGTTTCATTCCGTTTCCAGAGTTCGGTGGTGGGTTAGGGTTAGGGTTGCGTTTCTGCACTCATCCATGGCAACAGATACACAACAACAAAGTACTGCAAAATCAGGGATGAGGAAGCCCGTATTTATAAAGGTTGACCAGTTGAAGCCTGGGACTAGTGGTCATACGCTCACAGTCCAGGTATTGAGTTCGAAGACGGTGTTGCAGAAGGGCCGAGCGGCTTCTCAGCATCTTCGCCACACTCGCATCGCTGAATGTCTGGTCGGTGATGAGACCGGCACTATTATCTTCACGGCTCGCAACGATCAAGGTATACGATCCCTTTGTCGTCGATGCTCTTTCGTCGTGTTAACTTCCTTCCCTTTTATCCTGAAAATCGACTGGCTTGCCCTTTCTTCTTCTTTTCCTTTTCCTTTTCCTTTTTATTTTAATTTGTTATTTGTTTCTTCGATTTTCAAATTGATGATTAGTTCGAGAATCTCATACTTTGTCTGCATAGTACACGCATTTTCAACCCAAAGATAGGTTAGTGATCTAAGTTCTTGTTCCTACTTCCTAGGTTTTTTATGTATCTTGAAATCCAGAATCTGTGTCAAGGGAACCCTCCATCGCATTCTATATTCCTGTCTCGCAAGCCCTAGTATTATTTAAGAGCACTTCATTATAGTATTTGTTTCTTGGCTGCTTAGGTGAAGATGCCCTTTTTTTGGGGGGTTATGGTTATGGATGTCCCAATCTAGAAAATTTTCTCCTCCAGAAAACTCGCACAGATTTGTAATACCCGTTTGATGAGGCGACAAGTCAAAATGTGTGGAAGACGTTGTCTCTTTACTGGGGAGTTTAAAAATCTATTTTCTCTATGGTATAGAAGTCTATAGACGTATAGTAGTGTATCTTCCTTATGCTAATTTGAGGCCCTTATATGGCCATTGACACGGATTCGGATTAGAAAGTGGAGATGTGATGCAGCTCAGGATAGGAACTACCGAGAGCCCGTAGTCTGCTTCACAGGTAATGGCTATGGAAGAAAGCCACACGAGCAACCTGCAGAGATCAATGAAGAGAACAGAGGAATACAGAGAGAGAGAGAGATGAAAGAATTGTGGTCGTCTATTATTCCTTCCGTCTGTGCACAGCCCCTTTTATATACAGACTAACCGTTTGTGACTACCAAGAACAAGAATTGACAAAAAACAGAAATAACAATGTAACAGAGTCTCCAACTAATTCTAACTGCAATAACAATGTAACAGAGTCTCCAACTAATTCTAACTGCAATAACAATGTAACTGCAATAACAATGTAACAGAATCTCCAACTAACTCTAACGGCTCTGCATCAAATCCCCCCTCCTCAAGAACCTTTGTCCTCAAAGGTCAGAATGGGGATACTTCTGACAAAGGTCATAATAAAATTCCCAAGTGGCCTCCTTGGGTGGCAGATTCCGCCATTTAACGAGCACTTTTGTGGCAGCAACATTCCCCCGTTTAACAAGTTGTCTATCCAAAATAGCTTCGGGTATCTTTGGAACAGTAGGATCCATCATAAAAGGAGGCACGTCCGAAGGAACAGGAGAAGAAATACAACAACACTTCAACTGAGAAACATGGAAGATGTCGAGGTCAGAATGGGGATACTTCTGACAAAGGTCATAATAAAATTCCCAAGTGGCCTCCTCGGGTGGCAGATTATGCCATTTAACGAGCACCTTTGTAGCAGCAACATTCCCCCGTTTAACAAGTTGTCTATCCAAAATAGCTTCGGGTATCTTTGGAACTATAGGATCCATCATAAAAGGAGGCACATCCGAAGGAACAGGAGAAGAAACACGACAACACTTCAACTGAGAAACGTGGAAGATGTCGTGTATTTGAGCACCTACAGGAAGTTCAAGTTTATAAGCAACAACCCCAATTCTGTCAAGAATTTTGTAGGGACCATAGTACTTGGGTTGAAGCTTGTGATAAGGCTGCCCTGCAACTGTCGTTTGCCTATATGGCTGCAACTTTAAAAATACCAAATCTCCAATCTGAAACTCCCTTTCACTGCGATTTTTATTTGCCAACTGAAGCATTCGATTTTGGGCCCTCTGCAAATGAAATTTAAGAGTCTTCAGCGTAGCCTCTTGTTGCTGCAAACTACGATCAACCTCAGCATTCTTCGATTCATCGGGCAAATATGGCAAGTGGAGTGGTGGAGGCTGCCCATAAACAATTTCATAGGGAGTAGCTTGAGCAGAGGAATGGAATGTGGTATTATACCACCATTCCGCAAGCGGTAACCAGTTGCTCCATGTAGCTGGATATTCATGGCACATGCACCTTAAGTATGTTTCCAGACAACGGTTAACAACTTCAGTTTGCCCATCCGTTTGTGGATGATAAGCAGAAGAACGCAGCAGATCAACACCTTGTAACTTGAAAAGCTCATTCCAGAAATCAGAGAGGAAAACTGTATCACGGTCAGATACAATAGAGTCAGGAAGACCATGAAGCTTGAACACTTCACTGAGGTAGATTTGAGCTACCTGCAAGGCAGTATAAGGATGCCAAAGGGCCATAAAATGTGCTGCTTTACTGAGGCGATCTACTACAACAAATATAACATCCTTCCCAAAAGAAGAAGGTAATCCTTCAATGAAATCCATTGAAATGGAGGACCAGACAGTCGCAGGTATGGGAAGTGGTTGTAAGAACCCAAGATAAGCTGAAGCATCATATTTGCAGGTTTGATAAGTTTGGCAAGCTCTTACGTACTGCTGCACATCTCTATTCAATCCTTTCCAATAGAAAAGTGATTTAAGCCTTTTCAATGTAGCATCTTTCCCTGAGCGTCCCCCAAGTGGTGAGTCATGCATCCACTATAAAAGGAGTTGTTTAAGTGCAGGAAAGTCCCCAACAACCAGCTTGCCATTTTTGCGCAGCTGCCCATTACACCAAGTATAGCCAGGGTGGTTATTGGGTTGCTGCTGAATATCATCAATCAGTTTTTGGAGTACTGGATCATTAGCCCAAGCTTGCTGTAGTTTGGAATACAAATCAGTATCAATGGTATCCAAAGCCAGTTGAAGAAGTTCAGAATTGGGTAGCCGAGAAAGAGCATCCGCAACTTTATTTTCTTGACCCTTTTTATATTGTATCTCAAGGTCATACCCCATTAGTTTAGCCATAATATCCTGCTGAGCAGGAGTAGAAATTTTTTGCTCCAAAAGATATTTAATACTCTTTTGATCTGTTTTAATAATGAACTGTCGATTGAGCAGATAAGTGCTCCATTTCTGAATTGCAAACAAGACAGCCATGAGCTCTCTTTCATACACAGATTTCCTTTGATGCAGAGGACTTAGCGTGCGACTAATGCAAGCAATAGGGTGGTGATCTTGCATCAGAACAACACCGATTCCCACCCCTGATGCATCCGTCTCAATGACAAAAGGTTTATTGAAGTCTGGGAGAGCTAATACAGGCGCAGAACATAGGGCCTCTTTCAGTTTATCAAAGGCCTGTTGTGCTTCAGCAGTCCATACAAACTGATCTCTTTTTAGTAAATAAGTGAGGGGCTTAGCTATAAGACCATAGTGCTGCACAAAACGCCTGTAGTATCCTGATAAACCCAAGAATCCTCTTAACTGTTTAAGTGTTGTGGGAGATGGCCAATTACGCACATCAGCTACTTTGCTAGGATCTGTAGAAACACCTTTGGCAGAAATGAAGTGACCAAGATACTCCACTTGTGAAGCAGCAAAGGAACACTTGCTCTTCTTGATATAAAGAGAATTAGTGTGGTGTCTCTGGAAGACTAACTCCAAGTGTTGAAGATGAGCTTGCAAGCTTCGGCTATAGACAAGGATATCATCAAAGAAAACTAATATAAACTTCCTAAGATAAGGTTTGAAAATGTGATTCATCAACTTTTGAAATGAAGAGGGAGCATTAGTGAGTCCAAATGGCATCACTAAGAATTCATAATGGCCATCATGAGTCTTAAAAGCTGTCTTATATACATCGTTCTTGTGCATACGTAATTGGTGGTACCCAGATCTGAGGTCCAACTTTGAAAAGATATTTGCACCTCCCAACTCATCCAACAAATCATCCAAAAGAGGAATTGGAAATTTATCTTTAACAGTTTTACTATTAAGCTCCTTGTAATCTATACAAAGCCTCCACGTACCATCTTTCTTGCCTACCAATACAACCGGCGATGCATATGGACTGACACTTGCTTGTATAATTCCCTAATCAAGCATTTCATTCATTAGTTTTTCTATAATAGTTTTTTGCAATGAAGGGTATCTATATGGCCTTTTATTGACAGGTAAAGCCCCCGGTTCCATAGGTATTCGATGGTCAAACCCTTCCCTATAAGGAGGTAGTCCCCCAGGTTCATCAAACAAAGAAGCATACTTGTTCAACAGTTGTTCGACTGCCTCAGGTAGTGCAGAATGTTCAGCAAAAATAGAAAACAGAGAAGAAGTTACCATATTAGAATTGTCTCCTAGTGGACATAATTGGAGCAGTGCTGACTGGCCTCCTTGTAACAATGACTTAGACAGTTGTTTACCATCAGCATGCTTCAGTTTGCTGGCAGTTGCACCTCTAAGCACATGTTTCTTGCCCTCTACCTTAAATTCCATCTTCAGTTGTTGAAAATCCCAGACTATAGGCCCCAATGTGGACAACCACTGAATTCCCGATACCACATCACAAAATCCTAGAGGCAATACCATGCAATCTGTAGTGAAGGTAGTACTCTGAATCTGCCATGAGAATTTCTTGCAAATGGCTGTAACGAAGACCTTATTTCCATCAGCTACAAATACTGCCATAGGTTTGATTGCTACCGCCTTACATCCTAGTTTCTTCACAACTTGTTCATCTACAAAGTTGTGAGTACTCCCACTGTCAATCAAAATTTGCAAGGGTTGTTTATTATAATAACCAGTAGTCCGCATAGTTTGAAAGTGAGAATTCCCAGTTATGGCATTGACAAAAATACAAGGGCCAATTGTCTCATCTCCAATGCATTCCTCGACATTATTGTCCTTCTCCTCTCCTTCATTTAGCTCAACCACATACAACTGTGCTTTCTTGTGTTTTAATTGATGGCCGGGAGTAAATGGTTCATCACAGAACATACACAATCCTCTAGCCCTTCTCTCTGCCATCTCAGCTGTTCTATAGACCTTGGGTGGTTTATCAAGAATAGGCATGTTCCGACTCTTGCTGGGTAATGGCATTGATGGGTGCACAAGACTCTGTTTGGATGGCAGAGCCATTGAAGGAGTAGCAGGGCGCAACTGTGACTGCCCATAAGTAGATGGCTTTGAGAAGCGATTTTTGTTACGGGAGTATTTTGAATGTTTATACTCCCGCACAGATTCGAAAAGCTTCGCAAGATTCGCTGCTTGCTGCACTGTTGTGGGGTGGAACATCCTTACATGCATTTGAGTCTCGTACTCTAATCCAGTAATAAAACAACTCACCTTATACTCCTCCGTTAAATCTACTCTGGTCAAGATGTTTTCGAATTGATCCATATAATCCATGACAGACCCCGTTTGCTTGAGAGACATCAACTCCGACATAGGATCGTCGAACGCAGGTCCAAAACGACCTGCAACAGCTTTAGCATAGTCTTCCCAATTCATCGGCTCCGTTGTCAGCCTTGATTTTATCAAGGCGTGATGCCACTGGAGAGCTTTTCCCTCTAAATGGATCGCAACCAATTTAACTTTAACGGCCGATGATGTGTTGTCCAGAGAGAAAAATTGATCACACTTGTATAGCCAGCCCTTCACATTTTCTCCATTAAACTTTGGAAAATCAACCTTCGTCAATCTAGTCGAAAAGGGAAGAATCAGTGGAATGGCCGTCTGCATGGTTGCTTCTTGGACATTCTCTGCCGGAATTCTCCCCTGATTGTTCTTGCTTATCCCTCAATTGTTGATTAGCTAAGGCTGCGATCATGTCCCGCAACCCAGCGATGGTCTGCTCCAACTTGGCGTGAGATTCCTTCATCTTCTTTGTCAAAGACTCCTCCACCTCACGAATAGAAGTTTGCTGTCTGGTTGAGTCCGCCATGGCCAAGGTTCGTTCAATGGCTTTGATACCAATGATGCAGCTCAGGATAGGAACTACCGAGAGCCCGTAGTCTGCTTTACAGGTATGGCTATGGAAGAAAGCCACACGAGCAACCTGCAGAGATCAATGAAGAGAACAGAGGAATACAGAGAGAGAGAGATGAAAGAATTGTGGTCGTC